AGGCATCATACTCGAGAAGAAGAAAGTCCCGGTGAACAGATCTATCTATAGATAGCTTTAAATAGTAAGAATAAGTAGTTGGATAACTAAACCTATTTACATTTCTTCCTGGACTTGGTAATCCATGAACCTCAGCATAATTTTCCAGAAAATTTTTTGTCGATCAACATTTTTGTGACATTCTTATAGACGCTTGATATAGACTATTGTTTATCAAAATAAAATGCAACCAATTTCCAGAGCATATTAAGATATGTTCTTTTGACAAAACGTAATAAAAAATGACGAGATTAAAAAATACATGTCAAGTTTGCTACAAATAACCTAAATCTTTGAGAAAAATTTAGGAAGATTAAAAAGTTCAAGTAATATTAGCGAATAGTGAGCGAGACAAGTCAGCTGATTTTTATTCAATTCATTTTTAATGGATCGATCAATTTAATTTTTGAAAACTAATAAATAATATTAATGTATAACAAACAAACACAGCATACATAAATAAATTGTTACGCGATAATTTAATTTACATTTTTAAAAAACCACTAGCAATCCTTGCTATTATTCACTTTAAAAAATGGACTCCAAATCATTAAATTAATTTAAAATTATTAACACGAAAAAAATAAAGATTTATTTAAAGTAATACAAATACAATTTTAATTTTAATATTAATATAATAATAGTTATTATTATCATACAATATTTCATTCATGTTTTATTTTTATTGTTAATTTTAATTTTTTTAAAAAATCATTCATTAGATTTTCCATTCATTAGATTATTATTAGTTCCTTCTCACCCTCACACCTTTCAAACTTTCACACCTTTTTCCACATTTTCATTCACCTTTCTCATTCACCCATTCACATTATTTTCACATTCATCACATTCAATTTTTCATTTTTTTTAATTCATATTTATTATCAATAAAAAAAAAAAAATTCTAATGTTTAAATTTGGTTTTTTATTTGAAAAAAAGAAAGAGGTATTTTAATTTTCTATTTTTTTTTAATGATTAAGATTGACCTTTTAAAAGTTAACAATGTGAAATATATATGTGTGTGTGTGTAGTGTAAGAATCCCACTATCGTGATTAAACCAGAATTACCGGTTTTTGAATGGCAAAAGGTTGAAGAAACAGGATTGGAAGAAACCATAACTCAAGCAACTATAACATTAAATCAACCTGAAGATGTAAAAGTGGACAGTAGTCGTAGAAATTTAAGAGTTAATAATAACCGATCAAGGAGTAGTAGTTTAAATGCCGAATCAAGCAGAATACGTTTGATGCAAATAATTGAAGATGAAGAATCTAGAAAAATATTTCGCGATTATTTGGTATCTCAATATTGTGAAGAAAATTTGGATTTTTATATGGATGTGGCAAATTATCGTGAATTTTTTTGTACTGCCGGATTACATATAAATGAAGATATGGAAGAAATTAATTCTAGAGCTGTTTATATATGGAGTGAATATTTAGATGATGATACTTCTCCAAAGTCTTTAAATGTACCACAGGATTTGGTAAATACTTGTAGACGCAAAATCGAAGCAAAATCTCACACTATTGATGTATTTGATAAATTACAAGAACATTGTTTTGGCCTAATGGTTCAAGATTCTCTGCCAAAATTTACACGTAATTCTATTATAATCGATCAATGTAATAGTGATAATGATAGTAATAATAGTAGTAGTAACAATAATTCTTCATTAAGTGTATCGTTAAATAATAATGGAAGTGCCACATTTTTGAGACCGCCATCATTTGTTAACAAATCACAAAATGTTCCAAGAAAATCTCCCTCTTCTGGCTCTCTTCGTGTAAAAATGATTTCTACTATAGTTTCATTAAAGTCAACTTCTGATTTAAGTTTAAGTACTGGAAAGATCATCACAAATTTTATTAATCACAATAACAATGTGAAATTCATCAATACTGTTGTTAATAATGATAAGAACGATGTCGATAATGGTACTGCTACATCACCTTCTCATACATTATCACCACCATTAACACCAATTTCCCCAGCATCAACTATTAATTCTATATCAACACAAGAGAATAATACTCCATCAACAGCTGCATCAACGCCAACCTCATTGACATCAGAAAAACATGAATATGATAATTTCACTCTTTCACCACCATCACCATCACCATCATCTTCAACAAACTTTACAAATAACAATGCAAGCCATCAACGAATATCAATGGCCTCAATATCTAACATCACACGTCGTATATTATCACGTAGACGTAATTCTACCAGTTCAAATTCAAGTCGATTATCCATATTCGATTCCAATAGTAGCAGTAATGATAAACTATCTGCAATGCCCGGTTCATATCCTTTTCGTTCCGATGAAAATAGTATACGAGAAAATTGTGAACTTGAAAATGAATCTACTTCAACTGATCTAGTTATATGGCAAAAGTTACGTCGTAACGTTTCAACTCCGAATTTTCAACAACGTCATTTAACTCAACATAATCTACTCTACATTCTTGATAAAAATCTTCCACCGATCCCTGTTGTTGGTACACGAAGGCGTAAAGAATTATAGAAAAAAAAAAGAAAAAAAGTGAATATTACCTAGTAGATGTTTTATTTATTAATTATTTTTACTCGGGAAGTAAATTGTAACATTTATTATAGGTAATACTATATACAGTATCTAACCATCATAATCACCACAACTAATTATCTATTTATTTGTTTACATAACTTACTATTAAATCTTTTTAATTTGTATATTTTATTGATAATTTAAAAAAGAAAATATTAGTTTTTTTTCTTTTTAAATTATTTAAATATACAGTGTAACAAAAAATTTGAATAATGTGAAACAATCACTGCGTTAATTCTCGGAACTTTTTAATTACATGCTGGCTGATATCTTGATTTAAAGGATGGCCCCGGCTAATTGCAGTTCTCATCTTTAATGATGACCAATGTAAAATTTTCATCAATTCTTCAACAGGTCATTTAACAATTAAGATATTGATAAATTTATTTCAAATGACAGATTAATAAATTATATAAAATATACAGCGAGCCCTATTTCCCAAAAGGAAGGTATCAACCGTAAAACTGGTTTATCATACTGTACCATTTGGTGACCACGTACAGTTTGTGCTATATGTGCCTCTTCTTAAAGGATGCGCTTGCGGGCTGGTGAGTAATTAAAAGGCTTGCTTCACGAATTGTAGAAAATTTTGAGTAAAAAGTCCTTGGTAAGTTTTTTTTGCCCCGTTTTCACAAATTTGGCCATGTGGCACAACATTCAATAGATAAATTGTGTAATATCATGTGATTTCAGAAGCAATTCTTTTCTAATGTCGAAATAAATATTTGAGAATGGAAATAGTTGTGTAATTCGTGGATGAATGAATGTGTCCCCTTATTCTAATAATATAATTGCAAAAAAAAAAAGCAACAAAAATTACACAAAAACCAATTATCAGATTCAGTTAAACAATGAATAATGTAAAAAAGCAAAGCTTTTTTGTTTTAAAATTTATTCGAGACAATTTTTTTTTTAGCAAAGTTGTGACATCAAATAATTTTCCAAAATTTTTTGTTACACACTGTACATATGTAACTGTTTTTATAGATCTTCTTCTTGTAATTCTTGAGAAATCTCATATTCATACATATCCAATGCCACTTCACAACTTTCTTTGACAACCCTTTCTTGATCCTCTTTAAATTTTTTTAATATTGGTAGGCACTCTGGTGTAGCGATCGATCCCAAGGCTTCTGCTGCCTCATGTCTAACCATATCTAGTTCATTTACATTTTCCAACGCTTTTTTTAACGCAGTTACACTTGCTGGATTTTGCATTTGCCCAAATACAAAAGCTATTTCATGTCTAAACAATGCTGATGATTGATCTTCTAATCCCTTGGCAAGTTCTAGAACTGATTCGGTGGTGCCTAGATCTCTTAATGTAAACATGGCCTTATATCTTTCAAATAGTGGCAAATTTGTATCCATTAGGATCTTACCAAGTTCTGTGGCTGATTTAATTTTTGTGTTTGGTGGAGCAGGATCAATTGATTTATATATACTTTTTTTGAAAGGAAAAAAAAATAATAAGTAAATTTAAATTATTTGAAAAAACTATTTTAATTATTTTACCTATTTGAAATATCGTTATCATTACTATTCTCGAATTTGATCTTTTCAATAGCCAACTCACAAGTTTCACGAACAACAACTTGTTCATCATTTAAATATTTTTGCAAAACCTCCATGGATGACAAATCCCCAATTGCACCAAGAGCCTCTGCAGCCTTTCTTAAATCATAATATTTTTAAAATTCAATATCGTTTTTTTTTTAAAAAAAAAAAATTTTTTTAATCACTTACCTCATGTCTAACCATTGGATCTTCATTTTTATTAGTCAAAACTTTACAAAGAATTGGAATAGCATAGGGATTTTTAATTTGTCCCAAAACATAAGCAAGCTCATGCTTCAACAAAGTTGAATCATCACCGAAAAAAGCCTTTGAAAGTATATCGATACTTTTTTCATCTGCGATGTTTCTTAAAGTAAAGATTGCTCTAAATCTTTTATATAAAGGTGTTTTACCATCTTTATTGGTTAAAATGTTTTCAAGGTTTTCATAAACTGAGGAATTTATAATTTCTGAAGATTTAATTGTTGTAAAGGATTCATTAGAGATTGTCATTTTATTTTTTTTTGAGTGAACACAAAAAAAAATTATTTTATTATTTATTTATTTATTTTTATTCGTTACAATTTTTTCTTTCCTTTTCCTTTTTTTTTTAATTAACTAACCAAACCAGATTAAATTAAATTAGATAATAAATATAAAATAAAATAAATATAACAATGATAATAAATAATAATAATAATAATAATAATAGTAATTAAATTAATGATTATCTGTTATTATTATTTTTTGTTGTAAAGATAATATAATGAACGCAAATCTAAACTACTCCAAGCCAACCCAAACACATATTAAGCATTGTCTTCAGGAATTCGTACTTGATCTGCTTTAATATTATAATTATTTATTTGTTGTTTTTTTCGTCTGGTGAAAAATAGAGCCGCTAGCAATAAGACTATGATAAAGAACGCAACAAGTGATACTGCAATTATTGGCCCAACATTTGTTTGGACGGTTGTACCGGGTACATCACTTGAATCAGAGTTTTGAGCTGGTGCGGTTTGTGTTGAATCTGGATCAGCTGGTACGGTTTGTGTTGAATTTGGGTCGGCTGGTAAGGTTTGTGTTGAATTTGGATCAGCATTTTGAACTGGTGTTTCGGTTGCTG